TAAGTTTATTTATTTTCAGAGAGAGAGCAGGGGAGGGGCAGAGAGAGAGGGAGAGAGAGAGAATCCCAAGCAGGCTCTGCCCTGCCAGTGCAGAGCCCAATGCAGGGCTTGAACCCACGAACATGAGATCATGACCTGAGATGAAATCAAGAGTTGGAGGCTTAACCGACTGAGCCACCCAGGTGCCCCAGTAATTCTTCCTTTAAGTAGCCTGATAGCATTTATTTAAAAATGGTCCTATGACTGCTGCTGTCTGATGCATCTGCCCCTTTTTCTTTAAGAATTTTGCTTGTCATGTGGCTGTTTGTCATTTTTGTTTACATTTCCCCCTTTATCAAGATCAAAGTGAAGAATTCCTTTTCCAAAGGAAAAAATTCCTTCTACCATCTTTCCTGCATCGTAACAACTTAAGACAACCCATGTCCTAACCTGAAAAAAAATGGGAACAATATGTGGAGAGATCAGTAATGAAGGGAAAGCACTCAGAGCCTGGGATATTCAGGCCATTAAAGCATATGACTATGTGGTTGATATGCTGGCCTCTCGTGCGCCTGGATGGAGAGATACCCCTTATAGCCTGCCAAGGCCAGATTTCATGGCCCCCACATTTACCACATTGGCCTTCGCTTTTAGAGTTCAAATTTAAAGGAATTATAGTTTGAGTGTTTGGGTTGTCTCTTCTAGTAAAACTAGAAGAGGGGATGCAGGACAAAGCAAAGATGTGTATTTTCTTATACACTTTATCCATGGTTGCTGGAGATCCTAATATCTTATCTGAATTTTCTGTTCATTCTTTCCCTCCCTACAGTAATTTAGAGAACTTACAACCTTGTGAGTTTGAAAGAAGAGTCTATTTAAAAAGAATCATGATAAATAAGTACAGATACTAGGTTATCGAGATAAGGATGTGGAACATAAACAGAACATGTACTACTTTGCATATCAAAGAGCATATAATGTATATAAAATTAGGAGAAATTCACTAAAATATGAAGATCTCTTAGGGCGCCTGGGTGGCTCAGTCAGTGAAGCGTCTGACTCTTGGTTTTGGCTCAGGTCATGATCTCACAGGTCGTGGGATTGAGTCCCCAGTGCAGAGCCTGCTTGGGATATTCTCTCTCTCTCAAAATAAATAAATAAACATTTTTTTAAAAAATATGAAGATTTCTCAAGGATTCTTCCTTAAATGTAAGGCAGTAGTAAACCTTGTCAAGGAAAAAAGGGATGATTCTATGGTTATTTTTTCATCTCTTCAAATAAGTTGAGCTCCAAAAGTAGATTTCATCATCAGCACAAGTTGTAGGCTGAGAGTTCATAATATTATTTTGGCCTTGTGAGCCACAAGGTTAGTTGGAGTATTCAGTCTATGCCATCAGTAGCTCAGGAAATGAACCCTGTGGTGTAAGCCACGTGGACTTTTTCTGGAAAGGGCCAGAAGTAAATATTTTAGGCTCTGCAGGCCATGTCTTTTTTGTGATGACAGAATTCTCTGCCCCCACTCCCCATCCCCTTACCTATGGGGGATATTTTCCCGACCCCCGATGGATGCCTGAAACTATGGATAGTACTGAACCTTATATATACTATGTTTTTACCTGTACATATGTACCTGTGATAAAGTGTCGTTTATAAATTAGGCACAGTAACAGATTAATAACGGCTAATAAAAGAACAGTTATAGCAATATAATGCAATAAAAGTTATGTGAATATGGTCTCTCTCAAAATATCTCATTGCACTGTACTTTTCTGGGATGATGTGAGATGATAAAATACTACGTGATGAGATGAAATGAGGTGAATGACGTAGGCATTGTGACATAGTGTAAGGGGGGACTTCTGTATTTGACTCTGCTGTTGTAGCATGAAAGCAACCATACACATTATAAAAATCAACAGTGAGTGCAGCTGTGTTCCAATAAAAGTTCATTATCACTGACATTTCAATTTCATGTAACTGTCACATGTCACAAAATACTCTATTGTTTTCGTATTTTTTTAATGTTTGTTTATTTTTGACAGGGTATGAGTGGGGGGAGGGGCAGAGAGAGAGGGAGACACAGAATCTGAAGCAGGCTCCAGGCTCTGAGCTGTCAGCACAGAGCCCGATGCGGGGCTCGAACTCACGGACCGTGAGATCATGACCTGAGCCGAAGTCGGACGTTCAATCGACTGAGCCACCCAGGCGCCCCTGTTTTTGTATTTTAAAGTTGTTTTTTTTTTTTCTAAATGTTTATTTATACTTGAGACAGAGCAGAGAGAGAGGAAGACAGAATCCAAATCAGGCTCCAAACTGTCAGCATGGAGCCTGGCATGGGCTTGAACTCATGAACGGTGAGATCGTGACCCAAGCCAAAGTTGGACACTTAACGTGCTGAGCCACTCAGGTGCCCTTGTTTTTGCATTTTTTAATGGTTGGGAAAAAACTCCCAGCTTGCTGATCATATAAAACAGTTGGCAGGTTAGATTTGACCTAGTGGCCATTAGTTTGCAAACTCCTTCTTCAGAAATTCCTAGGATTATATTCTTTACTTTTTGACTGGTTTATGTGTTTGGGAAAATTGAGCATCTACCATGTTTCAGTTTTTATGTTTATTCATTTTTGAGAGATACAGTCGAGCAGGGGAGCAGCACAGAGAGGGAGACATGGAATCTGAAACAGGCTCCGGGCTCTGAGCTGTCAGCTCAGAGCCTGAGCCTGATGCCGAGCTCGAACTCCCAAACCGTGAGATCATGACCTGAGCTGCAGTCGGATGCTTAATTGACTGAGCCATCCAGGCACCCCACATCTATCATGTTTCAGGCACTGATCTAAAAAGATTTCTAGGAGCGCCTGGGTGGCTCAGTTAAGTGGCTGACTTTGGCTCATGTCATGACCTCACAGTTAGTGAATTCAAGCCCCGTATCAGGCTCTGCACTGACAGCACGGAGCCTGGAGCCTGTTTCGGATTCTGTGTCTTCCTCTTTCTCTGTGTCCCTCTCCCACTGGTGCATACTTGCTTGCTCTGTCTCTAGTATATAAATAAACGTTTAAAAAAATTAATAAAATTAAATGTGCCCAATCTTTAAAAAAATTAAAATAGAGTAAAAAGATTCTAAAAGTTTCCTTTCTTTCTGATCTGGTCATGTCTAAGGATTTCTGATGCCCCACTTGTCTTGCTTTTCAGTATGGAGCCCCAGATGCAGGTGGACTAGAGCATGTTCCTCTGGGCTGGAGTTACTGGTACGCCTTGGTGAGTGATTACTGAAGTCATTGGCAATTACACGCAGCCCTACAGATATGAAATATATCTACTCTCTAATTTAGTTCTGATTTTTCACATAAATTGCTTTGTGTTTATGAGTAGCTATTTTATCTCCTTAAAACAAAGTCTGTTGATTTACAAGTCACTCCCTGCGGGATATTTTTCCTGCATCACACAGAGTTTAACTACATTTTGCTGTTCTACCTGACCTACTTGTGGCATTTTAAACTAGGACATGTTACTGAAACTGTGTTAGTAGTTCATAAACCTTCAAAGAATCCGATTCAGTATTGAGATAATGTAAAATCCGATTCAGTATTGACTTAATTGCCTTTTTTTTTTTTTTTTTTTTTTTTTTTTTTTTTTTTTTTTTTGATGTCCTATCACTAATTAAACAGTATAGGTTAGCCCAGCACGATTTTGACTTTTGTTTGGGGTGCTGACCTCGTAACAACTTTTACTTTCCTGTCTTAATAGGAAAAGAATTCTAAATACTATAATTATACCCTCTCTATCAATGGGAAGGCACGAAAGCATGGTGAAAACTACAGTGTGGACTACCTGACAGATGTTCTGGTGAGTTACTGAAGCCCTGTCCTTGCAGGTTTGTTTTACAAATGATCGAAGGCTCTGCCTAGGAAACCTTTGGGTTTGGTCATATTGAGTAATGTGAATGAATAATAACTTCTTTTAACTGCCAAGGAATATTTCCAACTGATTAAAAACTCCTGAGGGTATTTTTCTTTGCATATAAGCCAGGCTCAAAGCTAATGTTCCTGAAATTCCAGCAACAAATCCCTTTTCCAAAGGCTAATCTCTAAGACTATAGAGATTACTTTGAAGAGGTTTTATTTTAGAGGTTTTTACTCTTGACCCCCGTTTCACTCACCAGCTATGAGATGGCAGCTTCACCATGAGGGTGGGGAGATAGGGATTGGGAGTTCTTAAGGCATTGTGTATTAATATATCAAAATTACTGAAACTGGGTGAATTTAGGACTTTCCTTTCCTATCCAAGGTGTTTCTAATGATACCCCTCCATAGAGTATTCATTCAGCAAATATTTGAGACCCCAGCATAACATGTGTTCAGTAGATGAAGCAGAGTCCCTCTTGGTGACCCGTTAGAGAAATAAGGCAGGTATGGGGGTTACTTAGATAACACTGACAGAGGTGAGATTGAGCTGTGCAGATCAGGAGAGAGGTTGCCGCAGACAGAGGGAACAACAAGTGTGAGGGCCCTGAGGCAGGAGTATGCTTGGCATGTTGGAGAAACCACAGGCTTCTGACAGGGCTCAAGCAGGTGGGTAGGATGGTAAAAGGAAATCGATGCAGTCAAGTATCCTTTGACTTTAGTGATGGGGATAAATGAAAACATAACAACCAGAACAATTTTTTTTTTTTAAGTTTATTATTTTGAGAGAGAGAGCGAGAGAGCAGGGGAGGAGCAGAGTGAGAAGGAGAGAGAGAATCGCAAGCAAGGTCTGTGCTGTCAGTGCAGAGCTCAATGCGGGGCTCAAACTCACGAACCGTGAGATCGTGACCTGAGCTGAAGTCCAGAGTTGGATGCCTAACCGACTAAGCCAGGCACCCCTCAACTAGAACAATTAAAAGCATAACATGTATGTGAGATGTTTTCAGTTTCGTGATGTATCTCCAGATGAGCAAATGAAAAATATAAGTCAACATAAATTAAAAACCTGGTGTTTGTATTTGGATTTAATGTTGTTCATACAGCTTAGCTGCTTTCACTGGCATAACTTACGATATCTACGCTCTGTGTATTTTGTATAAGATTAAGGTAACTTGATCCACCTGTCCCACTGTTGTGAATTAGGTTGACTCTTTTTGTATTCTTCAAGGTATCAAAGGAACACTCTAAGCTGTTTTAATATAAGCTAATACTTGAATGGCCAAAGTACTATTTCTTTTCTTATGGGAAGCATAACAATCTTTAGATCATGTAAAATCATTAGGACCTTCATTCCTTTCTTAGGATGGTATATCTTTACATTTTTTGAATAAGTATTGCCTGAAACCCAAATATTTGTTCTAACAACACACTTGTAAGTAACTGTGACATAGGTTATGTTTCGATTAAGATTGTTAAAATTCTTAAGATTGCTTAAAAGTGACTATGACCGTATACTTCCTGTTTACCTGAGAACAAGCATCTCTCAGGTCCTCAACTGTTGGATAGGGTCGATGATGATGGATTTTATGTATCTCAGGCTAATATCTCTTTGGGCTTCCTGGACTACAAATCCAACTCTGAGCCATTCTTCATGATGATCTCCACACCAGCACCACACTCGCCTTGGACAGCCGCACCTCAGTACCAGAAGACCTTCCAGAATGTCTTTGCACCAAGAAATAAGAACTTCAACATCCATGGAACGGTAGCTTCCCCCAATGCTTGAATTAAACCATACTCGATATAAGTAACTTGTCAGGGAGCCATTGAGCCAGTAGTCAGTTTTCCTTCCAGGTCTTTTAAAGGTAACTGTACCTGTCTCAAGTACAAGAGATAGTGTAAACTTACTTCTGAAGTACGGATAAGCTTCCTGCCGCATATGCAGTTAGCAGCTGGAGCGTGTACAGGGAATATTAAAGAAATGCCATCTTTCCTGACTACAGGCTCTCTTGATAATTTTTTTTTTTAATTTTTTTTTTTTAATATTTATTTTTGAGAGACAGAGATAGAGCATGAGCAGTGGGGGAGCAGAGAGAGGGAGGGAGACACAGAATATGAAGCAAGCTCCAGGCTCTGGGCTGTCAGTACAGAGCCCGATGCGGGGCTCGAACTCCCCAACCGTGAGATCATGACCTAAGCCAAAGTCAGACACTTAACCAACCGAGCCACCTAGGCACCCCACTCTCCTGATGATTTCTGTGCTGGTTCTCCTCAGTGTCTGAGGCACATCCGTTGGGGCTGAGCTAGGTCTGCAGCAGCCTCCTATGGGTGGCCCTCACCAGGCCTGAGGCATGGGAAGGAGGGGGTGACTTAGTGCAGGATGATTGGAAGGGGAAGTTGAATGGAGAAATGAGCCAGAGCAGGGAATATAATTAAGGACCACAACCTAAATATTTGCTTTACATGCAGGATACTTATACATTCCTTGGCACAGGGGATAGGCAGTTCACTGATTCAGAGACAGAAGTGCTCAACTGCCTCCTGTGTGTTACCCAGAAATCTTCATTGTTTGTGAACCGGTAGACAGAATGAGTCTTAGAGTAGACTCAGCATTACCGTTTTCTAGCTAAGTGACCTGAACATGAGCAAGATGCTTCACTTCTGCTTTTCTGTCTAAAGTGGGACATGCTCATTCCTCATGCAGCTGCTATACGGATTAAAGAACCTAGAAATGAGTAGCATGTTGCCTGGCACATTGTAGGCAAATGCTTAAGTATGATTTTTAAAGCTGAGAGAACAGAGGTTTGAACTAGAGAGTCATTCTCAGACTGTTTCAAAAGCAGTTAATAGAAGTTCCCATGAGCAAGTAAGTTGAGGAATTTTAAATAGGTCACTCTTACAGGATTTCTCAGAGATATTCCTGTTCTAACATGAATTCCCAGCAGGACGATACACTGTATAGCATTTCTCAAACACGTTAACTAAGAACCTTTTGAGGATGGTAGTTTGGGAGATGGTGGCTTGGGACTTTATGAATAGGGAGGAGAGAATTAATGATGTATGGGAATGTTTTTGTTTTTTAGAACTGTGAGTGTTTTGTTTAAATGAGAAGAACCCTCTAGATTTGAGTTTGAAGTTTTAGGAAATTGCAATGATGAGATTTTTCCCAAGGCTCTAGGATGATCATCTTGGGTAGGAAAATAGAGGGTGATAGAATGATGGCTTATGAGGACAAAACTTAATGGAAGGTAAAGTTAATATTTACCCTTTTGGAGTTTGGGCAGTAGACCCAGAGCATAGACTTAAAGTTACAAATTCAGTCTCCTTTTAGCCAGTAGTTTCTCAGTATTTTTTTTACTAAATCTGTTTTAATGCTGCTAACAAGGAGTCCAGGCCTTCTCTCATTAGGGAGGTAGTAGGAAGAAGCTAAAGAACAAGTGATAATCTATAGGACGTGTTTTTACAAACACATGAGGCAGGGGAGAGGAAGTCTGAAGTTGCTTAAGTGTTCCTCTTTGCTGAAGTATAAAACGGTCCTTTTCATTATTAACTCTGGTAGTTTATTTGATTGTAGTAACTTGGTATTAACATTTTTTTTTTCTTTTAAATTTTAGAACAAGCACTGGTTAATTAGGCAAGCCAAGACCCCAATGACTAATTCTTCAATACAGTTTTTAGATAGTGCCTTTAGGAAAAGGTAAGAGCTGCTACTTTATCAGTCTGGATGGTCTTTGAGGACCTTTCCAAATCAGCCCATGAACAGGGGACTACACAACATGGTTATCTTTGAGATAAAGTCAGAAGGTAGACTTTATCTGGTTGATGGGAGAAACTTTGGTTGGGGGTCCACTGCCCCAGAAACGGACTGAGATTCCTTTACATTCAGGTGTATAGGAGATGGTCTTTGGACCCCAGGACTAACATAATTGCAAACTGGAGCCATTTGGTTAAAAAAAAAAAAAAAAAAAAAAAAATCCATTTGTTTGAAGAAACGGTCACTTTGTGAGAATCAGGCCCAATATTGGTATAAGACCCAAAGGCTTAGACTAGAGCAAAGTATTTTCTTTGCTATTTGGAATTTCAAGGAATTGCATTAAGTCAATTCTTAAAAATCAATTACACTTTTTTAAGATGTATTTGGATTATACCAGGGAATAGCAGACTTTTTCTATGAAGAGCCAGATAGTGAATATTGTAGCCTGGCAGGCCATACAGTTTTTATCAAAGTTGCCCAGCTTTGCTGTTGGAGCCCAGCTAGGCAATATGTGAATTAATGAGCATGACTGTGTTCTAATAAAACTTTATATAAAAACAATTTGTTGTTTAATGGATACAGAGTTTCAGATTTAGAAGATGAAAAGGTTCTGAAGATCTGTTTCACTGTGTGAATATACTTAATACTACTAATTGTATCCTTAAAATTTGTTAAGATGGTAAATTTTATGTCGTGTATTTTTTACCACAATTTAAAAACAAACAAAAACAGTGGGCAAACTGTGGCCCATCACCATGGTTTGCCAACCCCTAGTTTAGACCCTTAAACTTTGTTGTAGCATAGGTCTGTCTGAATTAATCTGTATTCATCAGTGCTGAATTGACAATTTTCTCTTCCAGTCGCTTCTGCTGTCATAACCAGTGATGATAAAGCTAACTGGTTATTAAAAGCTCCATTTATTTCTCTAGAAATCATTAAATTTGTAATGAACTAATTACATTCTGGAATTTTTTTTTCCCTTCTGGAATTTTCTAATTTGGAAATTAGAAAATTATCTCTGGTTTTTTCCAGTGAGGGGTTTGAGGAAAGGAAGTTTGGGATTTGAGCTTTTTAGGGGTGTGGTTTGGGGGCTTTGTATTGTTCTGTTTTGGACTTTGCTCCCGCTCTTTTGGCAAAATAGCATTCCCTCAGTCATTGTTTCTGAAGTCCCATTGTCACCTTCTGTTTACATCCAGGTGGCAGACTTTATTGTCAGTTGATGACCTTGTGGAGAAACTAGTCAAGAGATTGGAGTTCAATGGGGAACTTAACAACACGTACATCTTTTATACCTCAGACAATGGCTATCACACAGGTAAGGGGCAGGCTGGGGTATTCCTGTGACCTTGGTGAGGTGCCTTTCCTCTTTCACCCAGTCAGCAGCACTGGCAGGCAGCTCTGGTCTGTTACAGGGGTGCCCAAGCCTGGAGGGTGTTGTCCTCAGGACTCCTCTGCTTAGAGGCTCTTCTCATTAGCATGGAAAGACCAGGTTTCATTATTTGCTATTTCATATGCTAAATTACGTGATGTTCTAGGAGTTGGGAAAGGAGAGTGAGCTTGCTGGGTTAGAGGCAGGCTTTATGAAAGAGGTAGGAAACAGAACTAGATTTAGGGGCGCCTGGGTGGCTCAGTCGGTTAAGCGGCCGACTTCGGCTCAGGTCATGATCTCGCAGTCCGTGAGTTCGAGCCCCGCGTCGGGCTCTGGGCTGACAGCTCAGAGCCTGGAGCCTGTTTCAGATTCTGTGTCTCCCTCTCTCTGACCCTCCCCCGTTCATGCTCTGTCCCTCTCTGTCTCAAAAATAAATAAATGTTAAAAAAAAAAAAAATTTTTAAAGGGCAAGTAGACCTTAGAGAATACAGGCTTCAGAAATTTTACGAGGAAAGACCAAGATAAGGTTGTCTTGTGAAATTGTGAAAGAAGTTTTACTGATTTTGTGTGTGTGTGGTTTTATGTCTTGTCTTTTCAAAAGTGTATATGAGTCAGCCCTAGATCTGTGACTTTCCTTTTCTCCACTTGGATGTTCTTAAAAACCAATGGCTTCTTTTGCTACGTATAAATTTCACAAACTTCAAACTGCTAACCTGAGACTTGCTTGCATAGTAGCAGATTGATTAGGCATTTAATTTTTTTTTTAAGTTTATTTATTTTGAAAGAGAGAGAAAGCAGGAGGGGGTCGGGGGTCGGAGAGAATCCCAAGAATGCTCCTCGCTGTCAGCACAGAGCCCTTACTTGGGCTTGATTCCACAAACCGTGAGATTGTGACCTGAGCTGAGATGAAGAGTTGAATGCTTAACTGACTGAGCCACCCAGGTGCCCCTAGGCATTTAATGTTTTGTTGTGAATATTTTGGAGCACTCAAAGTAGAGAGTAGTAAAATAACCCTCATTATCCAGCTTCAATTTTTAGCTACATGTGACCAGTTTTTTTTTTTTTTTAATTTTTTTTTTTCAACGTTTTTATTTATTTTTGGGACAGAGAGAGACAGAGCACGAACGGGGGAGGGGCAGAGAGAGAGGGAGACACAGAATCGGAAACAGGCTCCAGGCTCCGAGCCATCAGCCCAGAGCCTGATGCGGGGCTCGAACTCACGGACCGCGAGATCGTGACCTGGCTGAAGTCGGACGCCTAACCGACTGCGCCACCCAGGCGCCCCAGTGACCAGTTTTTTAAATTCTTCTTACCTTCCCCTTGTTTTTCTTTTTTTAGCTTGGAAGGCTTTGGAAAAACTTCAGACATTGTGATTCTGTACATCAATAATTGTTTGTGTATCTGACTGGTCTGTTATGTATTGGGATGTAGACAAAGTCCACATGCTACCTGTATTTTTTGTGTGCCCTAAGGTTGTCGTTGCCACTAAATTCATTGGGGAAAAATGTTTTTTGTTCTTTAACATCTCACATTCTAGATCTGGCTAATTGAGGTCTTGTGATGCTTGTTTATCTTTAGTCAGCGTTTTCCATAGATTGGTAATTAGGTCTACCATCTTAATAGAAATTCACGTTTCCAGTGAGAATGCTTTCTTTGGTGATACTGACATGTACTTCCTGTTGCATCGCTTCATGAGGGTGTCTGCTTGGCCCACTTTAGCAAGGCTCCTAATTGATGGCTCATGTGGTATCAGCCTGAGCCTCTCTTATGAACCTTTTGTGATCGAAGCTTCCATTGATGATTGTTGCTTTAATCCATTCTCTCAAAAATTGCAAAGCGTTGACTTCCTAACTCTGTCCTTTTTGCATTTATTAATTGGAATTCCTTAGAGAAGAACTTCCTCACATCAGCTGTTTGGTATCTTGAAATTGATTGATTCAGGAAAGGCCGAATAAATGTTTTTGTTCCTTTATTTACAGTTTTTAGAGTAACCTCGTTCACTTGTGGTCAGGTTGAGTAACATACATAAATTATATTTGTTACAGTACTTTCCAGTCAGTCTTTTTGCTGAATATGTCCTATGTTAGACCAACGAGTCCCCTGAGACATTTGTTTAAAGATGAGCTCATTTCCTGCCTTGTAGTAATAAGAGACCTTAGCGATTGTAAACTTTCCATTAAAGTGCCATAAATAGTAGGACAAAGTTGTTTTCATTCTTACTATCAATTAAATGAATCAGTGACACATCTATCCTGGCTCCATCTTTACCCCATGTATTTTGTTTTCAGGACAGTTTTCTTTGCCAATAGACAAAAGACAGCTGTATGAGTTTGACATCAAAGTTCCACTGTTGGTTCGAGGACCTGGGATCAAACCAAATCAGACAAGCAAGGTAGGTGCCTGAAAAAATGATGGTGTTTGCAGGTAGCACTTGCCTAAGAAAAGAAGGTTATTTCTCTGGAGAAGAGCCTAATTAGATTTCTCCCGCTATGAGGAGGAAGTCTGATTGGCTTAAGATCTTTTAAGTGTATTTATAAGCCTTGGAAATAGTGATTTCTTTTTTTATTTTCTGGCCACCTTCCATTAACTGTATTCCCCCCACCCCCATATATACACATCATATCAGATAAATAACTTTTATTTGTCCTTCAAGACGTAAATCTTTTTTTTTAATGTTTGTTTATTTTTGAGAGAGAGAGAGAGCAGGGGAGGGGCAGAGAGAGAGAGACACAGAATCCAAAGCAGGCTCCAGGCTCCAAGCTGTCAGCACAGAGCCTGATGCAGGGCTCAAACTCATGAACCGTGAAATCACGACCTGAGCTGAAGTCACATGTTTAACCGACTGAGCCACCCAGGCACCCCTGCAAGACTGTAAATCTCTACCTTGTCCTAGAACAGTGACTCTCCCATGCAGTGCTCCTCAAAATCACTCTCTGAAATTGTGAAAGGTTCAACATCCACAATGGTTCTAATGGACTCACTTGGATGGAACAGAGACCCAGCCTCTGTTTTTTTTTTCTTCAGTTCACAGATGATTCCGAGAGGCATCCCGGTTTGGGGCCTACTACCCTGTAGATCAGAACTCCTCAGGCAGATTTCCCCTGGGGACCTTGTTAAAATGCAGGTTCTGACTCTGCATTTCAGACTTCCCAGCCGATGTCTGCTGCTGATCTGTCCTCACTTTGAGTAGAACATTCTAGAAAGCCTGTCTTGGGAGGATTTCGTTCCTCTCTCTGTGGGACTTTTCCTTGCTAATGTGTTTCTGCTTTATTGATTCTCCTAGAACTGTCATAATGTACCACTTTCTTTTGTTGCCATTTCCATTTGGTTTCATTGTCTTTTTCCAAACTCGGTACCTAATACTGAGGCACTTTGTTCCTAGATCCAAAACACTTTGTAGGCACCCTGATTCAAAACACTTTGGTCTAACGCTTGGGAGATAAGAATTGATAAGCTCTACCAGTTATGTCTTTTGTTCCCTGATAACAGCTCTGTGAGGCAAAAGGAAATGAGCAAATACATCGTTTAAGCTAAGTTTGGAAAGTGGGCCAGACTTTCTGGGTATACTAGATACTTGAGTTTAATTTGGAGGTTTAATGTTTACTTTGTTTAAATGTCTGTAATTCACTTATTTCCTTTTGTAATGCTCAGATGGAATTCTGTTGAAATTCGTTCAGAAAGGTAAAATGGCCTTCATAATTTCCTTTGGAGTTTTCTTTTTCTCCTAAGACCTATAATCCTAAAGCCAGCCACTTCCCAGTACAAATTCAGTTCCCTATGCATGGGCCTTTTTTCAAAGGAGATAGGCGAGTTTGGAGGACCATTAAATCTTAAAAAGCATTTTATTGATCTCGATGTTGGGAGTTGATTCAGGGACATGTCTGCAGCTGTGTACATTTCTAAGGAGCAGGGCTACTGGGGCCACTTCTTTTTTTTTTTTTTTTTTTT